TAAACATGAAACAAGGTGACTCCCTTGTTGGTGAAAAGCAGCTTCCCTCAATTTTGCAAGAATCTCCCCCCCTAAGGCCCCCAGCTTATCATTCCCAGCACAGCTGCCACATCTCACATACACGGGCTGCCTCCAAGGAATAAGCGGTCAAGCCGCTGTGCCAGCAGTGCACCAGACAGTGGATGGCATTCCCCCACCCTCAAGTATTTGTAATTCTCTTGATCAGGTTTCTGAAGACAGGCAATAACCCGAAGAAAGCAGATGCACTTGGGCTTCTCCTCCCCATCCTCCCGGGTGGAAGGCAGCCCCAGCAGCTGCCACATCCCCGAGGCTCAGCATCTCCGAGGAGCAGTGATCAAAGCCATCCCTCTCCCATCGCAGTAGGCTCCGGATGTCAGCTCCATGACACCCCGCCTACCCACCCTGCCGGAGAGACTCTGTGCATTCATCAGGCATCTCCAGAGAGGCACACGGCAATCTGGAAGGCCCAGAGATGCCAGACCACTAATGTGCTAGGGAAAAGACGTCAGCGAATATTACAAATGCCCCAGAGGATGAGAGGCAGGCCAAGGGAGGAAAGACCTGGAAGGAATCAGACAAAAAAAGAGAGGGCGAGAGCAGGCACTTGGAAAATTTACGGAGGAATGGCACTGCTTTTTTGCTTAATTCAAAAAGAGCCTTTTTGCCAAAGCAGATCCAAGTGCACTAAGAACAGGTGAAGAGGGTCTTGCATTCTTCTTCTGTCTGATATTGCAGTGTTAGGTGCTGCTAACCAAGACCCAAGGGAGACCAAAATTTCAGGGCACAAGCCTTGCTTGTGCACTGCTCCTCTGAGATGGACTCAGCCAGCAGGGACCGAACATCTGCAATCCATCTTCACCGGGGCAGGATTCATCAGCCCAGCACCAGGCTGTCAGTCACACTGGGGACAGCTCCTGGGCACACAAAGGCACATGCAGGTCACAGACCAGATTGCACCGTTTAGGCAATGGGAGGCTGAGCATCCTCACAGCCTGAAGCCCTTGGCTTTCCCAGACTTCCCTTTTCTCCTATCCCTCCAAATGCAGCAGCAGAGCCCCACTCAGCAGCAGGTGCAGGGGCAGCAGAGCCAGCCCAGAGCTGCCGACTCGCAGCAGGTCCAGGCAGCATGGCCACAGCAGCCTTCTCTAGCTGTGCTGAAGCCAGAGCAGCATCTAGGTCAGGCTCAGAAGAAAACAAAAAGCAGATGAGCAGCCCTCGGCTGGGACTGGGGGGGACGCTGACACAGTAACTGTACCACAACAGCTCAGCCTCAGAACAGCCCTGCTCCTTCCCGCTGTCACGGGAGAGCTCCTTATGGAAAAAAGGAGCAAAAAAATACAGGGAGCAACTTTCAGATGGCTCCTGAAGTGCAGCACCTGAACCTGGCACCTCCTCAGGAACAAAGGCAGTTGCCTGCTTGCTGCCCGCAGGCTTTCAGACCTGTCAGCTGGCCCTGCCTCCAGCACTCGCACCCTCCTGCCTCCCTGAAACCACTGGGCACAGCTGGAGGGATCTAACTGTCTCTCTCTGGCACAGGTTATGCAGGACAAACACAGCAATGATATTCTTTAGCTATGCAGGGACCCAGAGCTCTGCAAAACTGGGGGGGCATTCGCCCAGCCCACTGCATAATAATAAACAACGGCAGGGGTACAAAAGGGTCTTCCAGGGACATGAATCCTCTCCACAAAAACCATCAGAAGAGTGTGACAGGCATGGTCTTGCCAGAGGCTGCCCTGGCTACAACTGCTACACATGATGACTTCCACTTCCATGCAGGAGTCCTGGAAAAGGCTTTGACCCTCTGATTTAAGAGATAACCAGCTCCTCATGCTGTTCCTAACACCAGCACTTAGCACTAACTGACTCAGAGTGGAGTCAGACCCTGACTTTAATCACTATTCAGTGTTATTAATAGTGCCATGCACAAAACCTGGCAGGTGGAAGAGCCCAGGCCAGTAGAAGCGTCATTTATCTCAGCATCACCTCTGACAAAGCAGCTCTACCCACCTGCCTCCCACCAACCCTGCCCCCAGCAAAGCCCACCTTTCCTTCGCTTTGTACCAGAAACATCCCACAGCCTTCCCCGGAAAAGACTGACACAGTAGGGCTCTGAGCCCTGAACCTCTGGGGTTTTTTCTGATCTCACCCCGCATTTCTTCCCCTGCTGCCCCCTGCCAGCAGCTCAGAGTCCCACCGAGGTCCACAGCTGCACCTTCAGGGGACACCACTGAGGTGGCAAAGCCTGCAGAAACCCAGAGAGGCCGAACGGGCTGGGGGAGGGGAGATGAAGCATCCTAGAGGGCATCTCTGCCTCCTCCCAGGCAGCAGGAGACTAAATCCTGAACAGCTTGGCAAGGACAAGCTGCGTGTCGGCATAGCCCCACCTCGCCCAGCCAGCACCGGGTGCCCCCCACGCTGGCACTGCCCACCCTTGCCGGGCAAGTGTGCGCTTCATTGTTGGTGCAAACAAAGGAGCGGTTTGTGTGTGACGAGGAGAAAGGAAGTCAGAGGCAAAATCATCCAGAAGCCCTGGATATATGCAGAATAAGCTGCAGGAGGTTGCATGAATGTACCATTTTACAGACATCAGTTAATCCCTCTGGACATGCTCTATCTCCCTGGAAGAGGTGGGCTGTGTCTCACCTGCAGCCACAAAGGCAACCAGTGCCCAGTTACAAACCTGACATCCCCGACCCAACACCTCCAGCCAGGTCAGGCAACCTACTGGGGAGGGACATGAGTGAAATGTGTTGTGGGGACGCGGTTTAGTGGTGGACTTGGCAGGGCTGCATTAATGGTTGAACACGATGATCTGAAAGGTCCTTTCCAATCTAAATGATTCCGTGATTCTATGTGCCCACCATCACGCCTATAAGCATTGCTTTGGCAAGGATCTCAGTCTATTCTTATAGAGGAAAAACGAGGACACTGGGATTCCCACCAGCTGTCTGAGGACAGAGCTATGGATGTCTGTCAGATGTCTGGCTACAGGGTAAGTGGATGCAATTTCTTGCTGTTTGCCCTTCAGGGATGCATCCTCTGCTGCCCTGCCCCCATCACCTCCAAGGTGGCCAAGGGAATGTTTATGCTCAGCTGCCTTCCCGGTGTGCTCACTGGGGTGCCCTGCTTGGTCTCTGTGATGAACTTCAGGTCACAGGGCAGCTGCTCAGGGCTCACCCCAGCAGCAGCGTAATGCCAGAAGGCCTTGGTTTGCCTTGGCTATTCCCTGGATCCCAGATCTCAGCAATCGCAGCCTCGCTCCCGTTGCCCTGCAACTGCTTTGGAGGACCGTGAGCATCAGTAGGAGCAAAGGGGCTGGATTGCAGGGTTAGAAAGACATCACTGGGCCATCCGCTCCCTGAAATCCCAACCGCAATACTCAACAATTCCCAGCACCTGGTAATAGTCCCTTCCCTGCCTGATGGAGACACTGATAATGGGCTTCACATCGATGCAGCTGGCTCTGTAGCCACGACCAGACCCCGTGGGCTCTCCCTGCCCGGCGCTGCAGCTGGCGACCTAGAGGACGCCGTCCGGAGACACACACACACACACAACCCCTCCCTTCTGCTCTCGTTCCTGCCCCATCCTTTTCCCCGCTCCGGGCTGCCCCGGCGGCTCCCCCTCCCGCCCCACGCCCCGGGGGGAAGGCAGGGACAGGGGCTGCCGCCCGCCGTCCTCCCCGGGCCCGGCACAGCCAAGCAGGTGCCCCCCCCCACCCCTCCCCGGCTCCCCGCGCCGCATCCCCCGCACCCCCGCGGCAGCATCACCGCCCCGCCGCCACCACCCCCGCCACGGCCGCGGCCGGGCCGGCGGGGCTCGCTCACCTTCTCCACGTTCTCCACGGTGAAGTCGAGGCCCTGCGGCGGCGGCGGCGGCGGCGCCTCCGCCCTCCGCTCCATGGCTGCGGCGGCGCTCAGGAGGCGGCGGCGGCGGCGGCGGGCGGGCGACAGCGGCGGCGCAGGGGCAGCCGCATCGCGGCGGGACCCGCCTCCCCGCCCCGCCGGGGGCGGTGGCACCGGGGCGGCGCGGGGCGGCTCGGTCTGGCCGGCAAGCGCCCCCGCGGGACTTCCCCGAGCGGCCCCGCCGCCCCGCTCCCCTCCGGCCCCGCCTCGCCTCTCCCCGCGGCCCCGCAGGCGCGGCCGGGCAGCCCAGGCCCTGCCGCAGCGCCGCACCGCACGCCGGGAGCGGTAGTCCCGGCCCACGCGCGTCCCCTGCCGGGCACCGGGGCCGCTCCCACGCGCGGGGCGGGCGGGGTCGAAGGGAGCCCCGCTCCCCACCCTCCCGCTGCCACCGCCCCCGGGGGCACCGCCCCGTCCCCCATCCCCGTCCCCCAACACGGGCACACGGAGGGGTCGGACGCGCAGCCCATCGCTTTATTGCTACAGGAAAAGGCGACTGTACAAAAATAGAGTTTATCCCTCAAATTTTACAAATAATAGAAAAGGGGAGGGGAGGGGGGGAGCGGGAGGCACGGGGCACTGCCCAGGGCTTCGCTGCAGCGCTGGGGTTAAATTACACCCGGCCCCCCGGGGGCCCAAAGTCATAAATAGGAGCTGCTGCTCAAGAACAATAAATAAATAATTTAGAGTAATAAATAGTTTAGTGCCGCAGCACCACAGGGCAGCGGCAGGGACCCTGCCACCCCCTTGGGAGCCAGGCAGGGGTGGGGGTCCCAGTGGGTGCCTGTGACCCACCACCCTGCAGAACACCAGGGGCTGCTGCTGGTCCAGGTGCAGGTCCCCCACTCCACACTGGTGCACACTGGCCCCGCTGCACTCCTGTCCTCAGGGTCACCTCTTCTCTGCAGGGCAACTCCAGCCACCACTGACCCCAGGGTGCCTGAGGGGACAGGAAGGTTTTGCCCCCTCTGAAGCTTGGGATGACACTTGACCCCCACTAGCTCCTCTAAAGCACGGGTGGAGGAGTGGTGCTGGTGGACAATGGGCTGGCAGACCACCCAGTGAGTCGTGGGGATGCTTCATACTCCCCTCAGCTCCTCTCCCAGGGATGAGCCACAGTGCACCCAGGCAGGATCCCATGTAGCCGTCGGCACCAGCTGCTTGGCACTGAGCAGGAAGGGGCTTGGCCGCCCACACCCCAGTCATGGCTCCATCCCACCTCGGCTCTTTGTGGCCATGTAAAAACGGGGGCACCGGCCTCTGCCAGACCCTTCCTCTGAGCGCCGGTGCCACTGCATGTGGCAAGCCGGAGTCTGCCGGCACGCGTCGAGCTGAGGCCAAGCCAGTGGCCCCCTCCTCAGCCAATACAGCTGCACTCGGCTGCTGAGAGCTTCTCCACCGTCTGCCAAGTGTTCTCCACATCCATGAAGGAGACAGCCTCATAGCGGGTGGGCCGGCAGCAGGGGTGGCTGAGGATCCGCTCCTGTGGCCCCGGGGTGATGAGCTGCTGCCGCAGCAGGCTGCCCAGTGTCAGGTCGTAGTTGCTGCGTGCCCGGTGGCAGGACCCACTGCAGTACTTGAAGAGCACGATCTCGTCCGAGTTGAAGCCCAGGCCCAGGTCGCGCACCTTCACCATCAGGTTGCGGATGTGGCAGTTGCGCCCGCGGGCGCCCCGTGAGGGTTTCCGCGCCCCCTTCTTGGCTTTGCCGGCGCCCGGCGGTGAGCGCTCAGCGCGCAGCAGCAGATCCTCCGCCAACTCTGCGGTGCCCGGACGACCCGTCGTCGCATTTTCCCCTGAACGTGGAGGAGACAGCACCATCAGTACCCATCCCGCACCCATCGCCCTCCTGGGCCTGCTGAGCCTGCCTGCCCCCACTGTGACCTATGGATCCCTCCTGACCACCCACATGGCACTGGCTGGGTGCCCAAGAGGCAGTGCGGTGAGTGGGTGCCCAGCTAAGACTTTTCTCATCTCTAGGGCTCTGCTGCCATCCCCAGCACGCACCGCTGAGCCCCCTTCAGCCCAGCCCCGAAGTGCAGCCACAGCCCCACACAGGCTGGGGGTCCCCACAGCAGCTCCCAGCCTGGCCATGCCCCATCTGCAGGACTACCCTGCCCAGGCTGGGGGTCCTGTCCCAACACGCACCATACAACTGGCTCCAGGCAGCGGCGAGTGGCACCTCCACACCATCCTCCACAGATGGGCTGGCAGTGGCCATGCCCTGTGGTGTAGGGGCTGTGTCCAGCGTCTCGTTGCAGTGCGGTGTTCGCAGGGCGCCCGTGGCCAGCCCAGCCAGCAGCGACAGGATGGCGAGGAGCCCCCACAGTGTCCCCTCCTGCAACAAAGCACAGCACAGCTGAGTGAGCCTCAACCACAGTCCCAGGGATGAGGCTCCATGAGCTGGGGATGGGAAAGTGTGGTCCCGGCCATTGCAGCCAGACAGACCTGGGCTCACCTTGGGCTGCAGGTGCGTGGTGGGTCCTGCAGGTCTCGGCTCTGGTGGCCCCTGTCGCTGGTCCATGCTCGCTGCAAGTGCAGAGGTTGGGGTCAGTGCCCACACAGCAGGGATAAGGGTGGGTATCGACCCGGCTGGCTGGGAGCTGGCACATGCTTCTCCTGCCTTCTCCAAGCATGCAATCCCCTCCATCACCCTCCAGAACCCCACAAAACCTCCTGCACCCCATGCATGACCCACCCTCACCCCTCTCGTCTCCTGGCACAGCCAGGCACCCTCACCACACTGCACACCCTTTCCAAGAGATTGGGCAGCTGGGGCAACCCAGTCTTTGTCCAGCACCTCTCCTCGGGGGGAATGCAGCCACCTCCTTGTGCAAGCGGCCTGGGATGCCAAGCTGGGCTGTGAGGCAGTGGCTGGGGCTGGGAGTACTGCCGGGGGGGGCCCTTTCCCATGGCCCTTCCCTGGGAATGTTTTTCTTGCTTGCAGTGGGAGCCTGACCTTGGAAACTCCAAATCCATTAGCACAGGGTCCTCGGGTGCAGCTACCCCTCAGCCCTGTGCTGGCTCCCCAGCCTGCTGCCTGAGCTGAGCTGGGACATGCGACCCCAGAGGAGCCTGGGTGAGTGGGGTCTCGAGGGGCAGGACAGGCAGACAGGTCCCATGGGTACATGTCAGGGTGTGGATCACCATGCTGGGCTCACTGTAGTCATTCTCCCCAACACCGCTGCTCGGCATCCACTGCCCTGACATGCAGAGGGGAACTGGATCCCTGCCGTGCATCATCCCAGCAAAGCAGCAAGCACAGTCTCAGGGGAGTAATGTCCCCCAGGAGGTGCTGGGGCGAGGCCCTGTCTGCAGCCACATGTTCGCCTCCTTTCCCAGCGCCCTCCCGCGGTGCAGGGAGGCTCCTGTGCCTCAGTGCCCAAAGCCAGAATATCCTAGATGCAGATCCCCAAGGGGCTTGTACCCTTCTTGGCCCATCTGCTGCATTCTCTGTCTCTTGGGATGGGACTGTCCCCTTGGAGACTAGTGACATTCTGCACTAGGGAGTTCCCCCATCCACTCTGTGACTGTCCTGGCATGTCCCATAGCAAAGCTGGGATGGGATATGCCTAGGAGAGCACTCCTGACCCATCCCCCCCCAAAAGAAAAAAAAGAAAGCACGTGGCTGGGCACCGCTGGGACAAGAAGAAAAAACAATTTCCTCTAGCCCCTTCAGCATCTCAGGGGATGGCCCCAAATCCCGATTGTCACATCTGATGACGCCCTACACTGGCCACGCTGTGGCAAGGGGCTGTGATGGGCGCTGACAGACCCACGTGCCTCCTCAGGGCTCGCACCGGCCCCCCCGGCCGCGCCAGCCGCCACAGCCTGGCCAAGCACAGCCCACGCTGCACGTCGCTCCCGTGGTGGCCCGTGGCCCCACGCCAGCCGCTGCCGCCAGGTCATGGTTTTCCCAGGCCGGCACCCCCGAAGGGACCAGTCGAGGGTCCCCGCGCTGTGCTGGGAGGGGACGGACCCTTCCCGCTCCCGGGGGCCTCGCCGCGGCCCCTCGGCTTAAGCATCCCGTCGGGACGGGACGGAGCAGCCGGTGCAGTTCAGGCTTCTCCCGTCCGGCGGCAGCACAGCCCCGGGCTCTGCGGCGGGAGCGCTGCCGGCGGGGCGCCGGACGAGGGCAGCCTCCCTTCGCCACCGGGAGCCCCGGAGCCAGAGAGACGAACGTGCTCCACCAGTGCCTCGGCAGACACGGGGCCCCGTCCCCGGGGACAGCTCCCCGAACGCGCAGGACGGCAGCCCACGCTGGCCCCGTAGCCCCGCTCGGCACCTGCTTTTCCCCCAGCGCGGACGGGGCTGAGACAAGCTCCTGAGCACCCTATGGCAGTGCGAGACCTGCACACCCCACGTCAGACCCCCACGTCCCGTATGGGGGGAACCTGGCTGAGGTCTTCCCCTGCCGCGGCTGCCAGAGTCCAGCCGGGCGATGCACAGGCATAGGAGGCTTTTTTTCCAGTGTAGGAACCGGGCCCATCCAAGTGAGGACCCGCTTGGTCCCCCGCACCCGTGTCTCCCCGCCCGGAGCTAAGCAGCATCGTGCTGGGGCAATCCCTGCGTGGGCCACCGCACACCCACCCACGCAGAGCCCGGCGAGAGCCGCGCGGCTGGGAGCGGGCGCCCCGAGGCTGCACCAGAACCTCGGGGGAAGCAGCAGACACTCGCGAAGTGCATTCACGCGGGGCCAGCGGGTGCCCCAGCCCCGGAGTGAGGGTCTTAGCTCACGGAGTGGCCGTGCCTGCCCTGCAGCCGCGGGTCCCACCTGGAAGTGTGGAGCGGGTGGCTGGAGACCCCCGCGGGCACCTGCGGGAACCGGTGGAGGCCCATCATCCCTCCACGCTGTCCCTGGCAGAACTGATAGGGGGTCAGAAATCAACCCCACATGTGATGCGGAGCGGGCACCCGCCCCGCGAAGCCTTGGGAGGCCCGGGGACGGACACGTGGGGTACACAGATGAGACCAAACTCGGCCCCAGCCCGGGGGCAGCAGAGGCGAGGGGCGCTGGGCAACCCCTCCCCGTGGCTCTCGCCCGGCCACCGCCCGAGCAGCCGGAGCGCAGACCTGTCCGATGTGCCCAACGGGCCGGGCAGGAGCCCAGGGGAGAGGCAAGAGAGTCCGCCCCCGTGTCCCCCGGGCGCCCGCAGCGGGGTCCCGCCTCTCCCTACCCAAACAGGGAACCCCATCCCCGCCGAGGCTCCCAGCGCTTCCCGCCGCCGGGCCGTGCTCGGCACCCCGGGTATTGCCGAGGGGTGGGCGGCGAAGCGGGTTCCCCCCGTCCCCCCGCAGTCCTGGTACGAGCCACCGCCGAGGTCCGGGGCAGCCGGCAGGCTGGGGCGGGCGCTGTCGCCCGCCGCCCCGGCCCGCACTCACCGTGCCCGCGGCGGGGACCATCCCCCGGGCCGCCGCTGCCCCGCATCGCCTCCGCTCCCCGCCGCCCCCCGCCGCCCGCCGCCGCCGCGCCGGGGCGGGGCGCTGGCGGGGGCCGGCGCTGCCCCGCCGGCACCGACTCCCGCCGCTACTCCCGGTGCCGCTCCCGCTGTGTCTTGGGATACGGGTCCCGGTCCCGCTGCGCCTCGCGGTGCGGTGCCGGCGGCGGCGGGCCGACGCACAGTGAGGGGCAGCGACGGCTCCATCCTGCTGCCGTCTCCGCTACCGGTGTCAAATTCCAGCCGCCGTCACCTGACCGGCGGGGCGGGCACCGGCACCGATACCGGGACCCCGATTCGAACTGGCACCAGAATACCAGCCGCCATCCCGACACGCACAGCAGCAGCACCGGGCCTCCGACCCGCACAGGCGCCGGGACCGCCCGGGAGCAGGACGGCACCGGGATCCCGCCAGCAGCAGGAGCCGCAGCCCGACCCGCTTCAGCACCGGCTCCCGCCGGCACCCGCACCGCCGCCGAGCTCCCGCGGAAACTCGCACCCCGCCGGGAACGGCACCGGGACCCCCGGCGGCACCCGACCCCCGCTACCTCCACCCGCACACCGGCCGACCCCCGGGCAGGCGGACGGGCAGGTGGACCCGCAGCCCGGCCGGCCGGACGCCCCGTGAGCGGGGCTCCCTGCCCCGACAACCCTGTCACAGCGCAGGCAGGACGGGCACACGAACAGCCCCGGGGAAGCGTTCAGCCCTTCCCGGAGCGCTCCGGGAGCAGAGCCCCACGGCGTCGGAGGGCAGCGCCCTTCACGTGGGGACCCGGCGGGGATGGGTTGGCGGGCAGGGTCGCGGCCATCCCGGCCTTGGTGGGACCGTCCGGCGTCCCACGCACCCCGAGCCGCCGCGGGCCACCCGTGTGCCTGGCGCTCGCGTCTGGCCGCGCCGGAGGAGGAGTCCGGCCTCCCCGCCCGCCCGCGCACTGCGCTCCGGTCCTCCCCGGCGGGGCCGCCCGCCGCCGGGCTGCTTACCTCTGCCGTCGCTCTGCCTCCCTCCGCCGGGGCCGCCGCTGGCCCCGGGGACATGGGGGCCGGCTGGCGAGTCGAGTCGAGCCCGTGCGAGTCCTTACGTCACGGCCCGGGGCCCTCCGCGTCCATCCCGGGGCTCTCGAGTGCTCCTTTGCGAACGTGCCAAATCCCGGGGCCGCCTCCGCTCAGCCCCGCTTCACACGTGCTCCCCTGGCCGGAGCCGGTCGCCGGGACGCGCCCCGGGCCGGGCGAGCCCCCCCGGGGCCGGCCCTCATGGCCACGGGGTCCGAGGGAGCCCGGGCGGACTGCGTGGCCCGGGGGTGCCGCGGGCCGTGTCACCTGCCCCGGCCGCGCTCCGGCGCAGCTCCCCGGCCTTATGCAACTCCCCGGCTGGAGCGGGGCCAGCGGCTCGGTCGCCGGCTGTGCCGCGGCTGCACGCCGGGCCCCAGGTGGCCCGTGGGGTCTGCCCCGAGCCCAGGCACCCCGCGTGGCTTTAACCTCCTCCCCGCCGCCCGACAGCCCGCGCCCCGCGGTCCCGCGGCGGGGGCGGACGGCCGCGCCTGCAGACACCTGCGGAGCCGCCGCCTCGTCTGCGCTCATCTCCTCGGATTATCCAGCGCGGGGGTGACAACTCCCGCGTCCTCCTGCGGCATCACCTGCTGGGGAGTGTGCGGGCGCCCACTAAGCCGTCCCCGCCACCGCGAGCAGGGACGGAGGAGGTGGCGCGGGGCCCAGAGCTGCTGCCCCTGCCCTGGAGCGACACCTTATCCCTCCCGGTCCTGGCACAAGCACCTTCGCCAAAACTGTGGCCATGAGTGGCTCCATACCTGCTAGTGGGACTGCGTGGGAGCATGGGCTCTGCCATGGGGCTGTGCTGCCCCACGGCCCTGGCCTGAGGCTGGTCCCATCTGAGATGTCCTTGTGGGAGCTGTCAGAAGTGATGCCCTTGGATGACTTGGCCCAGCAGAAGTTTGGAGGCTGGGGAGCATCCCTGGGGTAGAGACCCAGCCAGGGTCAGCGAACAGGATCCTCTGCTTTGCAGGGCTGCAGACTAACACGGCTGCCTGCTTGGAAAATTTCAGTGCAAGTGGTATGTCCTGTTCCAGGTTGACTGGCTGTCCTCATGGGGCTGGGACTGGCCACAGCCCTGCCCATGCCAGTGGACCTACACCGGAGGAGGGTAGGGCTGCCTCCCACACCAACAGCCTTCAGGACTTGGAGACAGCCTCAGGTGCTGGCTCACCACAGAGGTTACCCCCAACCCTTTCCACCTTCCTTGCAGATTGGGCAGGTCCTGATGTTCCCAGGACATAGCTGGGAGTTACCGAGAGTGTGGTGCTGGTGGTGGGCAGGAGGATTTGATGGGCATGGCACAGGGTATCCACAGGACCCCACACAGGTGAGCCCATGGTGTCCTCCCCAGACCTGTGAAATGAGAGGTTGTGCAAAGCTGTGCAGTGCCTGGCTTCTGTCCTCTTACAGGTGTGGTCCCTTTGAGGCTGCTACCCCAGCCACGTGGGGACACTGGCTCCCTTCTCTGCCCTTGTCCCTTGTCCTGAGAGACATGAGCCTGCTGCTGCTGTCAGCCCCACTAATGTCCTACCATCAGCACCTCCTCCTTGTCCCTCCAAGATTGTGGTAGCAGGAGATGGCACGTCCCAGCTCTGTGCTTCAATCCAGGTACTGCTCTCTCCCTTTGGGCTCTCACGAGTACTGGCTCTGCCATGGAGAGTGCTGACCATGCTCCAGGCTCCACAGGGTGCTGGGGTGCAGCCCCACAGGTTTCCAGACAGATGGGTGGCTCCGTGGCTGCTGCTGGCACTGCCTATGTCAGCCCATGCTCCTTGCACCCCCAGGGCTGCGGTGTCTTGAGTGCCTTGCCTGGTCTGGAATGAGCCCTGCGGGGCTGGGGCCTGCTGTGACATTTGTCCCTGAAGGTGCCACCCTTGCGTGCGGCGGGATGGGGGTGATGCAGTTCAGTCAAGTGGCAGGACTGAGCACACCACGGCTGCTGCTGCCGCCGTGCCTGTGCGATGCCATGGCTGGGTATGACAAAATACACGTGGGAGAGAGCTGTGACGCAGGTGTCCCCATCTCAGAGGTGATGTGGCTCTTTCAGGGGCACCTCTGAACAAGTCTCCTTGTCTCACCTGACCTGAACTGTCCCATGTGCCCTGATCCCAGGCTCTGTGCTTTCCCCTTCCTCAGCTCTCCCAAGGTGAAGACAGGGCATGGGCGGTTCCCGGGGCTGGCCCAGCCTGACAGCAGTGGTGGCCCTGCTCCTTAAGCGCTGTGAAGAGAGGAGGGAAGGAAGGAAGGTTTGAGCAGCCCCAGTAGGCTGGGCACTTGCCCCTGTGGTGTCCCACAGGTGCTGGCAGGAACCCACCCTTGTTTAGGAGCTGGGAGGCCTGGCAGAGCGGTCACCCACCTGGAAGTAGCCTTCCTGTTCCTCCAGGCGATGGGACTGTCCCCAACACATCCTGTGGCTCCGGGAGCCCGGCAGCATCACCAGGGTTTGCTGCAGGGGTTGCGCTCCTCCTGCTGGGACTTGGCAGGTGTCGGAGCTGGTCACAGCCTTGGCCCCTGGCTTCCTAAACTGCTTCCTTCCTGGACACTGTGGTGAGAAGGTCACTTGGCTGGACACCTGCCTTTGTCCGGGCCGCACCCAGCCCAACTGCTGCTGTGACCCTTCGCGGGAAGTCATGCTGGTGGCAGGGAGTCCCCAAGAGAGCAGGCAGAGTCCCAGGCAGGACAAGCTCTGACACCCGTGCCTTCCAAAATGAAATGAACCCGAAGAGCGAGGCCCTCTCCTACCCCTCAGTTCACCAGCGAGGAGGAGCACAGCCCTCTCCTGTCCCCAGCACCAGGCCAGCGGCACTGACCAGCTGCAGCTCCCAGCAGCTGGATTACTGTGCTGGAGGAGACAGCAGTGAAACCAGGCTGGGGACAGGCCGAGCAGGGGAATCCCTCTGCCTCCCATCAAAAAGGCCCAAGGCAGCAGAAGAAAGAGGCCAGCCAAGCTTGTTTGATAGCTTTATTGCTTCTGTGATATGACTGAATTGACGTGACATAAGCCGGCTTGGAGGAGCCTGCAAGACTCTTGCCCTCCCTGCCTAGAGGGGAAATTAAAAAAAAAAAAACAACGCAGAAACTAAAAACTAATTTTAAAAACTCATTGAGTTCTTGCATCTCAGCTTGGTACAGTACCGGCAAACCCACTGGCCTTTGCGAGTCCCTGTGCAGGCTGTGAGAGAAGCCAGAGCCCAGAGGAGCTGGGTAATGGCCATAAAGGGTCTCCTGCACTGAAGTACACGTCTCTAATACTGCTCAGACCCACCAGTGCCACACTGGTGCTGGTGGAGCTCGGCATGGTGGCTGCCCCACTGCCAGGCACTCTGGAAGCCCTTGCCCGTGCCCGGTGCTGCCCATACCCAGCCTGACTGCCCCTGTTTGACACAAATGGCCCTGTCCTGACACCCTCCACCCCTGCTCCCAGCAGTGCCCACACCGAGGGGCAGCACAGCATGGCCAGGCAGGACCTCCCCACTGCTCCCTCCGAGGAAAGGAGGTCCTGGAAGCCCAGAGACACTGGGCTGAGAGACGTGGGATTGGATCCCACTGTTGCCTCGTGCTCCCTGGCCACGGTGCTTCCCTTTGGCACGTGTGAGCTTGAGGCCACAGCACAGCCAGCCTCAAACGGGGCGAGCTGGTGGCAGGAGCCTGACACCAGCGTGGTCAGCCTGAGCTCACAGTGTGGTCAGCGCAGCAGTGGCAGCTCTCTGGCAGCCCCCTCCCCTGGAGCAGCATGTGTTGGCTGCCCAGCAGCTCCACATATCTGCCCTCTGCACTAGTCAGAGCAACACCCACTGTGGGCTCCCGGCCTCCCTGCGTGTCCCCGGGCAGGTTCCCCGCCACCCGAGCGGCCTTTCTGCACTGCAGCGCATCAGAGGCACCAGGCAACCCCGCTCTATATTTAGGCTGTGGAGAATTCCCCTGGGCTCTCCCTTCCGATCTGACAAGGTGAGTCACTGCGAGGGAGAGGCCAAGACTCACATCCGTCCCACTGACCGTGCTCTGACCTGAGCTGGCAGGACTGCAGCGTCTCAGAGAACGGGAGGTGGCTGCAGGTGCACACGGGGAGGCAGCCAAAGGAACGGCATCCAGGAGTGAAACCCAGTGCTGCACGCTGTTCCATCACCCAGCCGTGGGGCTGCTTTGTGCTGTTAGTGAGCTGGAGGGGAGTCTTGGCCCCCAAACACTCTTTCCTTCTACTTGCAGGGGGTTCTGAGCCACCACAGTCACCCTGGGCCATGCCCTCAACTAGTCAGCCTGGGCATTTCTACCTGGAGACTCCCACCAAGGTGGAGGGAAGGGCTTGGAATCATCTGCCTGGCCTGTAGGATCAAATTCCCATCAGGACCTGTCCCTGGTCGTGGTGGAGAGCTGGGATGACAGGAAGGCTGAGCAGTAGGTGTCAACACTTTCCAATCCACAACCTCAGCCAGGTCCAGCCCAAGCATCCCCACTGCCAGCATGACTGGGACTCTACAGATGACAGTCCTGGGTCTAGGCTGACACACAGAAACTGCAAAGGGAGTGTCACCAGGTGAGAGCCAGGGAAATCCCATCCCCTGTGCTCCTTGAGAAGGAAAAAGAAACCGGGGAAGACTTCACAGGAGTATCTGCCACAGCATATGCTCAAAAACCTGCTGGAAACCTCACAGAGCATCCTGGTGGGAGGCACGTCCCTGGGGGAGCAGGGACTACCTGGCTGGGAGGGCAGAGGGATGGGAAGGGACAGGGAAAGGGGAGAATGCCAGAAGAGACACAATCCTTGAGCTGCTCCCAGATGACAAAGCAAGCAGCAGCCACAGCCAGAAGCTGGACAGGACTTGCCCCTGAGTAAACTCCTTGGCTACAGGCACAGCATGCAGGAAAGGTTCCTGAGGCATGCATCCCACACTGGTCTGTAAGCAGCACTCAAGCCCCATGTCCTGAGATCTTCCTCTGCCTGCAGCCTGGTCTCAAACCATTCTGTACAGTCTGCTCCTCTGCCCCACACCTGCCCCACATCTGCCTGCCCTTCCTGCACACCCCCTCGAGGGTCTCAGCTCCAAAGTCACAGCCCCCCACAAGTCAGCAGGGGAAGAGGCAGCTCACAGTAAGACAGACTACAATCCTTGGGTTGTATCGCGTGCAGTGCCAGGACCACGAGCCCAACCTGCATCCCTTTGGGATCCCCTTCTGCTGACCTCAGCGCTGGCTGGCTGCATGCTGGACACCCAGGTACTTGGACAGTGCCTGTGGGCGCAGCCCAGCCTGCTCCAGGCCAGGAGAGCACAGGAGCCAATTTCCACCTGTAACCATTCATTCCCTTGGCGATCCCCCTTCTGCCCACACCCTCCCAGTGGAGGAGACCACCCTGCTGTGCTCACGCTTGGCCACGTTGCTCAGTTTATTCCAGCTCCTCTGAAATACGTATACAAATCAAATGTGCAAATACTGCGCCCTGGGACCAAGGAAGGATGTGCTCCTGAGAGCAGGAGGAGCAGCAGTGCTAGAGCAGCACGGGAGGAGCTTGGAACTGGTGTGAGCAGGGGCCGAGCGGAGGGTGAGGGTTCCCATGAGGCTCCATCCTCACTGAGGTCACATGTTGCTTAAACAGGGAACATGATCGGGTCTGGAACATAAAGCAAACATCTTCAGCGGTCTGCTCTCAAAATGTAAAGCTTGAGATCTCCGCTCAAGATCTGACCTCCTTCCAAAGAGCAAACTACTCCCCTCCCACACAAAAGCAAAGCGAGATGCTGTCCAGAAACAGTGACACCAATGTGCACAGACTCCACGGGGGCCCTGCACAGCAGGCACAAACCAAGAGGCCCGAAAGCCTTGAGCACAACGAGGCAGGCTCCCCCACACCGTGACAGGCAGGAAGGTGGGGAGGGTCTGCTGGAGCAGGAGAAAGCCATCAGCTCCCCCCTCCACCTCAGGGTCAGGGCAGAGGCAGAGCAAATGGCCGTGAAAAGCACAGCCAAGTCGACGGCTGCTGCTGCTGTTGCCACCTCTGTGGAGGAAGCAAGGAAAAAAATGCAGAAAAACAAACCCATGCTCATCTCCATTCAGAAGCTCCAAGTGGAGAATGAGAGGAAGCCATTATTCTCCCTTTGAATTATAGCAGCACCAACAACACTGAAGTTTTGGATGGATTTGTTTTCCTGGGGAAAGGTCTGAGGCTGGTGACAATGCAGATGGAGCATGAAGAGGCCGGGTTTTTCGCAGGGCTGTGCACAAGCAGACTTTGCCTTGTACCTTGGTATTTCTAGTATGGTTCCAGCAGAGTCTTTTAAAAAATAATACTTTGTACATTCAGGCATTGCTGCCTTGGGGCAGCATCACCTCCCATTTGGCACAAATCATTTTATTCACAAATCTTTCTTCTCTCTCCTGAGTCTTTCCTGTCTAATTCAGGATGCAGAAGATTTGTCTGCAATGCAGAGTTCAAGAACTGTCCACTTAGTCCCTTGCCCACCTCCTGCCAGCTCTAGGCCTGGAGGTGGCAGATGCAGCCCTCGTGCAGACTGGCAATGCAAGAGGGTCTTCCCAGAGCACCTGGGCATCTCTGTGTGTCTTCAGTGAGGTGGGATTCTTGCAGGGGGCTGCCAGTGCCTGCTCCCAGAGCTGCTGCAGCGTTTGTCTTCATCTCCTCCCCTGGAGGCAGTGGCTGCAGCCACTCAAATCCCACTGGTTAGGTCAGTGATGACTCGGGCTTTCACCAGCTTCCTCAGAAACTCCTTCTCCCGCTGGATGTTGTGCGTCCAAGACTGGAAGGAAACGGGAGAGACACAAGGTCAGCAGCTACCCTGGCCAACATGCTCCTGTCCCTTGGGTTGTGGGAGACTCCATCTGGGCCAAGGCAGAGGCTTCTGCCAAGGAAAAAGACCCTGCTGCAGCCCAGAAGAGCCCCTGCAGACCAAGGGACTTCTCTTATCTAGAGCTGATACACTTGCAGGGCCAGACCTGTGTAGCTTAACGGTGAAGATTTTTTTGGCATGGTGAGGTCTGGGACACCCAGGTCCCTTGGGCAGATGTAGCAGGTTACAGTGCCCTCCCAGGCTATCTTACATGAGTCCAATAGTGGCAGCAGAGCTGGCAGAGAACGTGGTGGCAGGACATGTTGTGCCCATCACACACAGCTCCCTGCCAAGGGAGGTCTCTGGGAATGCATAGTGGTACATGCAGCTGAAAAGCCCAAGGACCAGCCCCATTAAATCTGCCTCTTGCCTCTGCTGGCCCTGCCACCAAGAAATCACATGCTAAAGGTTACACTAATACAATATAAAGGGTGAAATGGCCACATCTCCCAGCAGGGACTTCAAAGCAGTGACTCCTACAGCTGGTGTCAGCCCACCCAGACGTGTTCCCTGCAGCAGTTTCAGCAGGGACCACAGCATCTGCCATCACTCCCCAGCACTGGAACTACTGAAGCACTTAATGATGGCAGTAAGTGGTTTGTCTCTCTGTAGAGACAAAGGCAGAACAGGGAAAAGCAACTTTCCCCTAAATCTCCCAACAGGGTAAGAATCCCAGTAAATGATGCCGGGGCTCCAGCACAGTGCTCTGGTCAGCAGGTAATCTGAGCCCTAAATACGATGTGGACCATGACAAAATCACTCTGCAGGAGCCTCTCTGAAACGGCCTCAAACCAACAAAGCACCAGCCCCGTGAGCCCACTGAGGGCACTCTGTCATAGGTACTGAAATTCAACTTACCCACTGCAGAATTGTGGGCACCTGCCTGCAAAGCACTGGTTGCACACATCATGCACAACGTCCACGTGGCTCTCCTGTCATCTGCTGCTTGTCCTGCCCTGTCCTGTCTGGGACAGGCAGGTCTCAGCCCTGACTGCTGTGTGGCACTGGCAGCTCCAGTCACAGTGTGCATGCAGCAGGTTGCCAGAAGGTCCAAGGGACTGAAGGTCCCTCTCTGGATCTCCAGCACTATTTGGAAATACCTCTCTTGCTGCTACTGTGCATTTAAAAACCCCTTCCATCCCCTCAGTGCACAGGAATGATGACAATTACAGCTGCTTAAGAAAGTTCAGGCAGGTGTTACCTTGTAACCTGTGTTCAAAAGAAGTCTTTGACTTCCTCTGCTTCCAGTGACACTGTTACCTGAACCCTCCAAAGGGTACAGGACCACACTGGTAAACTGTGCTGGTGCTCTTTGGGACTCTGTAAATGTAGAAGACCCCATCTCTAAGCTGAGAAGATGCTGCCCAGAAACAACTCAGAGCTTCTGGCACTGAGAAGCAAGGTGGCTTGTAAGAGGAAAAAAGCATCATTTCCAGAAAGCAGCACTGGGAATGATGGTGGTGCAGAGCAGAGGGAGCTGGGAGAGCAGGGCTAAGCGCGGTTGTCACTCGGAGCCAGAGAGCCAGGATCCCCCAGAGTGCTGGAAACAGTCCCACACGTGGAATGTCAGCTGGGGGTTCAGGGTTTGGCCCCTGCCATGCACCAGTGCCTCTTCTGCCTACACAGCCCCTTGCTAGGAAGGCTCAGCACCAGCAGAGGCAGCCAAGTGTGCGGGTGTGCTCCTGCCAACAGGCAGCCAGCAGCTGTCACGCTGGGACACCAGGTCTCGACGCGTTCACTTACATCTGGCCGGGCCTGCCGCTCGAACCTGCCTGGAGCACCGGGAGCCTGATGTGCCTGATACGTCACAGCACGACCTGAGCCCTCCTTCATGCCTTTCAGCCTCATCAAACAGCATGAGAAGCCAACTGCCTTCGGTCAGGACAACCTGTTTGTGTTCCTCGTACAGACGGGAACTGGGGAAGCAGACACTTCCAGGCAAACTCAACCCACCACCTGAAACGTCACCTCAGGCCACGTGCAAGTGCCTTATCTGATGGCAGGAGGAAGTCTGCTTTGTGAAAAGTGTAAGTGGAGCAGGAATTTAAGTACAGGAGGTGGGTAATAAAACTTTGAGTGATACAATTGCAGTCTCTCTACGTCTAGGTCTGGCCCCAGCACTGACTGCAAAAACGCTGGCAAGACCTACCGACCTCTGGTTGTTCTGGCATCCAGGCTGCTCTGTTCCCTGGGCACTGCCACTAACTCCTTGTTCCAAGCAAAGTCACATGAAAGGGAATTCAGCCTCCCAGCAGAACCATGGATCTTACTGATGTCTGCATCAGTACTCTCAAATGTACATGTGGTTCATGTAAACCCGCAGAGAAAGAGGTTCCCTGGTGAGGACAAGCTTTCATCCCTCCTGAAGAGCAGCATCAGGGCACTCAGTGCAGTGCTGCTCCCCCCTTGTCCAACAGCAAGGCAGGCAGGAGGGATGAGGCATGTCTTCAACACCAGCTCTGGTTACTGATTACAGGAGAGGGACTCACTCACCCCACTGACAGACAGAGCTAATCAGGCAAAGGAAGCTGCATTCCAGCACTAGCAGCAGCAGAGGGGAGAGGAGCCAGAGCAGTTTTCTCAAAGTTGGCAGAAAGACAAGCACCTTGGTCCCACTGCCCCAGCAGGAAAAGGCAACAAAATACCCTCTAAAACCTCGCAGCTTTTGGGGTGTATACACTCTAAATAGCACCCTGGGTAGCACACACGACCAGCACAAAACTCCAGCTCTTCTCCTGTCAATCTGAACCTCCCAGATGGTAATGGAGCAGCTTGGAGCATTCACTGCCACCACCACCTTCTCGTCCCTGCACATCACCACTACTGCAACCTGGCAGACTGGCCCTGCCCTCTCCCTTCCTCTGCTGCTCGAAACCGGTGCAGCTTCCACTTGTGCAAACAAACAGGCTGCTTGCCTGAGCTCACAGCAGGAACATCACAAGAGGCTCCAGAACCTCTCCTGTTCTCTGGGGATCACGCTAGGATTTCCTGTCCCATGGGTCTCTCTCTGAGTAGTGGATGTTGGCTCTTTCCAGTGGAGAGAGAAGCAGCAGGAGGAGAGTTGCTCTGCAAGCACAGGCACTGTTCTGGCTGTTGATCCCGGGGAGGTGGCAGTGGGTCTGAGCGCTTGGTCACAGTTATTAGATGAAAATTCATCATCAGTTAAAGCCACCTTTCAGTATTATGCAAATACAGCAGCCCCAGACCACCTGTCCTTTTTATCTTTACAGTTCCACAAGGGAGCACAAAACATCATCTGCCGCTTGAAGAGAAGCCAAGCAGAATATTTTAAGTCTAAGGAAACGTTTCAGAGACCAACCCAGGAGGAAGGTAAGCTCCCCGTCTGTAATCAATTACAATCGGGGAATGCCTCAGCTTCAGACCACATTAGTCTTATCAACCATGCTGCAATTAAAACACAGGAAGGCTAAATTAGAGAGAGTGAAGTCAAGGAGGAATGCGTTCACGAAAAATAGCAAGCTGTAAAGCAGGAGGTTTCTCAGTTCTGTTACATCCTCCGTGTTTCTGCAAGTCAGCAGCACTTCTCCCTGAAAACCTGCACAGAAACCAAAGCAGCAGCAAGAACTGCTACTTCAGTGGTAACAGTTGGTTTCCAGTCTCCACCAGCGCTAACTTATCTTTGCCTTTAACCTTCACTGCCTTGTCTCTAGAGCTGCTTAATCTTCATGATTGTTCCTCACCCGCACCCTTGCTCTGGTCCCAACATGGTGACCACGCGCACCTGGTGTTTTATGGACACCCCTGAGCTGCAGTTTCACCTCCCACTGCACCCCCCGTGACACCAGCGCCCTGCCTTGTTCAGCTCCTGTTTCCCCCTTCTCTCCCAGTCCATTGCCTGCCCCAGAGCTGTATTCATCTTTTTTTCACAGTATCAGTCTGGCAGCCTGAATTATCCTGTGATTTATTTGTACCTACCTAAGCACTTTCCTCCTCTGCTAAATGATGCTATCCCAGCTTAGAGCCAAAATGTCTGTTATTGCCCCAAACAGTATGACCTTCCATTCATATCCTTTAGGTTTCATGCCACCCAGCTTACTCCTGTTCTCAAGGTGCTCATGGTCTTCCTGGATGGTATTTTGATCCTCCCTTGTATTGACCACACCTGGTTTTGTCTCATCACAAATTCCACTTGCACACCGTTGCTTTCTGTGCCAAAAATCATTAAAGCAAACACTAAGCATGACTTCCCATGGAGGAACTCCCAGCTGTCCTTTCAGTGCTGCTTTTTGTGTTCTCTTTTAGAGAGACTATTCACATACAGGTGTTGCACCAAACTGTGGCTTCTGAAGCTTAACTAATAATATCTCACACAGCACAGTATCACATGCTTAACTTAACTTCTGACAGACTGGGCTACTACACTTCCTCTGTCCCAAGAATGATTTTTTTTTTTTTAATCAAATAAAGATATTAAATTAGTTTTTGTAACCTGCCTTTGGTAAATCCACGTTGTGTTTGCTTTCAGGATTTAATTATTCTTTCATTTAAACTCCACTCTGAAGTTCTGAATAGTACCTCTGAGGTAAGAGGTCTGAATTTGACAGGATTATTTTCCCTTGCTCCCATCCCCCCCAAAAAAAAGAAGGGAAAAAGAAGTATTATGTCCACTACAAGCTAATCCTGTGGAACCACATGTAACCTGATAGATTTATTGGGGACCTTTTCCTCTGGACTTGCAGCTTAATTGGTTCAAAGTGGAATAGAGATCTCCTGGGTTCTCACACCTAGTGCATTAGCTTCAACAGCTTTTGCCTTTCACTGCTGACCCAGTAGTTTTCTTTTCCTGTGAACTTCTCACCATAAGCCACTCTTCCTCTCACATTCATCATATCACCCTGATGGAGGTAATATATATATATATATTCATGTGGCTCCTACTTTAATCCTTC